GGCACTTCCCTGCGCTGAACTTCCTCGCCCGCGCCAGTGCCCAGCCCCGAGGTGCCCCCGCTCCCCTCGGCCTGAAAGAGACTGGGGAATTCTGTGGGGCCCGGCTTTCCCCACCCCCTCCACCGGGCCGTGGTGTTCCAGGGATGCCCGCAGCCGGGGGGCAGATTTCCCTTCTCACAGCTCTTGGTGTCGTCCAGTCCCAGCTCCTGGTAGCCTGGGGTCTGGGACACCCGCTGCCCAGCTCTGCGGCCGATCCCACTGCTCTGCTTCGCTGGGCACCGAGGGTCGGCAGGCCCGGGCACTGCCAGGTTCCCCGGAGAAACAGCCGTGCCAGGAGCCAGCCTGCTGGGCTCACGACCGGTCCCGTAGCACCGGGTTCATTCATCGCCACACGCTGCCTCGCTCTCCACCCTGTCGCCCCAGACAGACTCTCCCTCCGCCCAGGCAGCGAGGAGCAATGGGGAGAGCGTAGCCTGAGGCTCCCTCAGTGCCTCGGTGGGCTGGGGCCCTACCAGTCGCTCTCAGCCGTCCTAGCCTGGACTCCATGTGTCTCCTGAGAGTTGGGCCTCTCGGCGCCTTTGGCCACTGCCCACCTCCGGCTCAGCCGGGGGTTGGGTGCTCTGACTGGGCTACCCGTGTCCGCCTCCCTGATGCACCCTGCAATTTGCAGGCATCTCACCTGCTCCGAATTCACAGGTCCCTGGCTTCCTGAGGTGGTGACAATTCCCTTCGGAACACTGATGCTGCCATGGCAGGAGACTCCCGCCTGTATGTTCAATGGGTCGCTCAGCGCCCCAAGAGCCAGATGCCCCCCTGCAGGGGCTGGCACTGGAATGGACTGAGCCAGACCATGAGACGGAAGCTCCGTTTGGGTTGTGACTTAGAACACCAGGACTGAGTCTGGCACAGGTCTAGTCCCCAGAACATGGCTCTGAAGCAAGGCTGGGTTCTAGATCACACTGGGAGCAGGAACCGGTAGGGACGGGGATCTAGAGCACGGAGGCAGGTCTGGAACAGGCCTAGCCCCCAGAACATGGCTCTGAAGCAAGGAGAAGTTCTAGCAACAGCCAGGAGACAGGGATCTAGAGCACAGAGGCGGGGCTAGAGCAGGCCTAGCTTCCAGAACATGTCTCTGAAGCAAGGCTGGGTTCTAGCAACAGCCAGGAGAGACGGGGATCTAGAGCACGGAGGCGGGGCTAGAACAGGCTTAGCCTCCAGAACATGGCTCTCAAGCAAGGCGGGGTTCTAGCAACAGCCAGGAGAGACGGGGATCTAGAGCACGGAGGCGGAGCTAGAACAGGCTTAGCCTCCAGAACATGGCTCTCAAGCAAGGCGGGGTTCTAGCAACAGCCAGGAGAGACGGGGATCTAGAGCACGGAGGCGGAGCTAGAACAGGCTTAGCCTCCAGAACATGGCTCTCAAGCAAGGCGGGGTTCTAGCAACAGCCAGGAGAGACGGGGATCTAGAGCACGGAGGCGGCGGGGCTAGAACAGGCCTAGCCCACAGAACATGGCTCTCAAGCAAGGCGGGGTTCTAGCAACAGCCAGGAGAGACGGGGATCTAGAGCACGGAGGCGGAGCTAGAACAGGCTTAGCCTCCAGAACATGGCTCTCAAGCAAGGCGGGGTTCTAGCAACAGCCAGGAGAGACGGGGATCTAGAGCACGGAGGCGGAGCTAGAACAGGCTTAGCCTCCAGAACATGGCTCTCAAGCAAGGCGGGGTTCTAGCAACAGCCAGGAGAGACGGGGATCTAGAGCACGGAGGCGGAGCTAGAACAGGCTTAGCCTCCAGAACATGGCTCTCAAGCAAGGCGGGGTTCTAGCAACAGCCAGGAGAGACGGGGATCTAGAGCACGGAGGCGGAGCTAGAACAGGCTTAGCCTCCAGAACATGGCTCTCAAGCAAGGCGGGGTTCTAGCAACAGCCAGGAGAGACGGGGATCTAGAGCACGGAGGCGGAGCTAGAACAGGCTTAGCCTCCAGAACATGGCTCTCAAGCAAGGCGGGGTTCTAGCAACAGCCAGGAGAGACGGGGATCTAGAGCACGGAGGCGGAGCTAGAACAGGCTTAGCCTCAGCAGCTGGAGGTTTGGGACCCGGGCTGCAGGAATGTGGCCTACAGTGCCCAACCCTGTTAGCTTCTGACCTCGCACCATCCCCTGGCAGGGAGTTCCACAGGTTAATGTGGCCTGACCACAGCCTGCTGCCTTTTCATGAGGTCTGGGCAGGGGCAGCTCTGAGACCCAGTCCCCATCTCCAGCCCAGGCAGGACATTACAGCCTCCATCCTACCCACGCTGTCTCTGCCCCCACTGCAGGGCCCCCCGCACCCCAAATCCTTTGGGGCAGACGGGATACCGCAGGTGGGCATCCAGGGATCTAGACGGGGGCAGGGAAGGTTTCCTGCCTCCCTTTCTCCCTTTCTCGAGACCCCGGCGCAGCGCGTGGCTGTTTGCCAGGAAGGAGCCACGGATCCGGATCCCTCGCGTGGCAGCAGCTCCCATGGCCCAGGGCCCCCCCCGGAACATGGCTCTGAAGCAAGGCTGAGTTCTAGATCACACCGGGAGAAGGAACCGGTAGGGACGGGGATCTAGAGCACGGAGGCAGGTCTGGAACAGGCCTAGCCCCCAGAACATGGCTCTGAAGCAAGGCTGAGTTCTAGATCACACCGGGAGAAGGAACCGGTAGGGACGGGGATCTAGAGCACGGAGGCAGGTCTGGAACAGGCCTAGCCCCCAGAACATGGCTCTGAAGCAAGGCTGAGTTCTAGATCACACCGGGAGAAGGAACCGGTAGGGACGGGGATCTAGAGCACGGAGGCAGGTCTGGAACAGGCCTAGCCCCCAGAACATGGCTCTGAAGCAAGGCTGAGTTCTAGATCACACCGGGAGAAGGAACCGGTAGGGACGGGGATCTAGAGCACGGAGGCAGGTCTGGAACAGGCCTAGCCCCCAGAACATGGCTCTGAAGCAAGGCTGAGTTCTAGATCACACCGGGAGAAGGAACCGGTAGGGACGGGGATCTAGAGCACGGAGGCAGGTCTGGAACAGGCCTAGCCCCCAGAACATGGCTCTGAAGCAAGGCTGAGTTCTAGATCACACCGGGAGAAGGAACCGGTAGGGACGGGGATCTAGAGCACGGAGGCAGGTCTGGAACAGGCCTAGCCCCCAGAACATGGCTCTGAAGCAAGGCTGAGTTCTAGATCACACCGGGAGAAGGAACCGGTAGGGACGGGGATCTAGAGCACGGAGGCAGGTCTGGAACAGGCCTAGCCCCCAGAACATGGCTCTGAAGCAAGGCTGAGTTCTAGATCACACCGGGAGAAGGAACCGGTAGGGACGGGGATCTAGAGCACGGAGGCAGGTCTGGAACAGGCCTAGCCCCCAGAACATGGCTCTGAAGCAAGGCTGAGTTCTAGATCACACCGGGAGAAGGAACCGGTAGGGACGGGGATCTAGAGCACGGAGGCAGGTCTGGAACAGGCCTAGCCCCCAGAACATGGCTCTGAAGCAAGGCTGAGTTCTAGATCACACCGGGAGAAGGAACCGGTAGGGACGGGGATCTAGAGCACGGAGGCAGGTCTGGAACAGGCCTAGCCCCCAGAACATGGCTCTGAAGCAAGGCTGAGTTCTAGATCACACCGGGAGAAGGAACCGGTAGGGACGGGGATCTAGAGCACGGAGGCAGGTCTGGAACAGGCCTAGCCCCCAGAACATGGCTCTGAAGCAAGGCTGAGTTCTAGATCACACCGGGAGAAGGAACCGGTAGGGACGGGGATCTAGAGCACGGAGGCAGGTCTGGAACAGGCCTAGCCCCCAGAACATGGCTCTGAAGCAAGGCTGAGTTCTAGATCACACCGGGAGAAGGAACCGGTAGGGACGGGGATCTAGAGCACGGAGGCAGGTCTGGAACAGGCCTAGCCCCCAGAACATGGCTCTGAAGCAAGGCTGAGTTCTAGATCACACCGGGAGAAGGAACCGGTAGGGACGGGGATCTAGAGCACGGAGGCAGGTCTGGAACAGGCCTAGCCCCCAGAACATGGCTCTGAAGCAAGGCTGAGTTCTAGATCACACCGGGAGAAGGAACCGGTAGGGACGGGGATCTAGAGCACGGAGGCAGGTCTGGAACAGGCCTAGCCCCCAGAACATGGCTCTGAAGCAAGGCTGAGTTCTAGATCACACCGGGAGAAGGAACCGGTAGGGACGGGGATCTAGAGCACGGAGGCAGGTCTGGAACAGGCCTAGCCCCCAGAACATGGCTCTGAAGCAAGGCTGAGTTCTAGATCACACCGGGAGAAGGAACCGGTAGGGACGGGGATCTAGAGCACGGAGGCAGGTCTGGAACAGGCCTAGCCCCCAGAACATGGCTCTGAAGCAAGGAGAAGTTCTAGCAACAGCCAGGAGACAGGGATCTAGAGCACAGAGGCGGGGCTAGAGCAGGCCTAGCTTCCAGAACATGTCTCTGAAGCAAGGCTGGGTTCTAGCAACAGCCAGGAGAGACGGGGATCTAGAGCACGGAGGCGGAGCTAGAACAGGCTTAGCCTCCAGAACATGGCTCTCAAGCAAGGCGGGGTTCTAGCAACAGCCTGGAGAGACGGGGATCTAGAGCACGGAGGCGGGGCTGGAACAGGCCGAGTGCTCCAGAACCAGGCGTAGGCACGGAGCAGGGTTCTAGATCCCATGGTGCACAGAGCTAGCAGCTCGGGGCTCACCTTCCTGCTGCTGCTGGAGCTGGAGCGCGAGCGGGAGGCCTCGCGCTTCCTGGTGGGGGATGCGGAGCGGCTGGAGCGGGACCCGGAGGAGGTGGAGTCGGAATCTGAGTTGGAGCCACTCCTCCGCCGGCACTTGGGGGGAGGGGAGGGCGATGCTGGGCAGGTCTCCGACAGCCTCTCCTGATTTGGGGGGCCCTCCTTGGTCAGCAGCGGGGGAGGGGGCTCATCCTCCCCGGGGGAGGCCACTGGTGCCTCCCCTTTCAACAGCTGGGGAGGGGCAGGGGAGTTGGGGGTCACAGCCACACCCCCTTCCTGTGAGATCTCCGGGGGTCCTTCTGCCTCCTCCTGGGGGACCCCCCTGTCTTCTTGTAGTCTAGCAGCCCCTTTCTTCTCTAGGGAACCCTCCAATGGAGGAGCTGGCGGGCTGGTCTCCCGCTTCTCCCGGGGGGCCGTCACCCTTTCAACAGCTGGGGAGGGGCAGGGGAGTTGGGGGTCACAGCCACACCCCCTTCCTGTGAGATCTCCGGGGGTCCTTCTGCCTCCTCCTGGGGGACCCCCCTGTCTTCTTGTAGTCTAGCAGCCCCTTTCTTCTCTAGGGAACCCTCCAATGGAGGAGCTGGCGGGCTGGTCTCCCGCTTCTCCCGGGGGGCCGTCAGGCTCGGCTCCTCCTTCTCCCGGGGGGCCATTGAGCTGGGCTTCCCCTTCTCCCGGGGGACCAGCGGGCTGGTCTCCCCCTCTTCCTGGGGGGCTGTTGGGCTCAGCTCCTTCTCCTGGGGGGTCACTTGACTGAACTCCTTCACCCGGGGGGCTGGCAGGCTGGGCTCCCCCTTCTCCTGGGGGGTCACTGGACTGGACTCCTTCTCCCGGGGGGCTGGCAGGCTGGGCTCCCCCTTCTCCTGGGGGGTCACTGGACTGGACTCCTTCTCCCGGGGGGCTGGCAGGCTGGGCTCCCCCTTCTCCTGGGGGGTCACTGGACTGGACTCCTTCTCCCGGGGGGCTGGCAGGCTGGGCTCCCCCTTCTCCTGGGGGGTCACTGGACTGGACTCCTTCTCCCGGGGGGCTGGCAGGCTGGGCTCCCCCTTCTCCTGGGGGGTCACTGGACTGGACTCCTTCTCCCGGGGGGCTGGCAGGCTGGGCTCCCCCTTCTCCTGGGGGGTCACTGGACTGGACTCCTTCTCCCGGGGGGCTGGCAGGCTGGGCTCCCCCTTCTCCTGGGGGGTCACTGGACTGGACTCCTTCTCCCGGGGGGCTGGCAGGCTGGGCTCCCCCTTCTCCTGGGGGGTCACTGGACTGGACTCCTTCTCCCGGGGGGCTGGCAGGCTGGGCTCCCCCTTCTCCTGGGGGGTCACTGGACTGGACTCCTTCTCCCGGGGGGCTGGCAGGCTGGGCTCCCCCTTCTCCTGGGGGGTCACTGGACTGGACTCCTTCTCCCGGGGGGCTGGCAGGCTGGGCTCCCCCTTCTCCTGGGGGGTCACTGGACTGGACTCCTTCTCCCGGGGGGCTGGCAGGCTGGGCTCCCCCTTCTCCTGGGGGGTCACTGGACTGGACTCCTTCTCCCGGGGGGCTGGCAGGCTGGGCTCCCCCTTCTCCTGGGGGGTCACTGGACTGGACTCCTTCTCCCGGGGGGCTGGCAGGCTGGGCTCCCCCTTCTCCTGGGGGGTCACTGGACTGGACTCCTTCTCCCGGGGGGCTGGCAGGCTGGGCTCCCCCTTCTCCTGGGGGGTCACTGGACTGGACTCCTTCTCCCGGGGGGCTGGCAGGCTGGGCTCCCCCTTCTCCTGGGGGGTCACTGGACTGGACTCCTTCTCCCGGGGGGCTGGCAGGCTGGGCTCCCCCTTCTCCTGGGGGGTCACTGGACTGGACTCCTTCTCCCGGGGGGCTGGCAGGCTGGGCTCCCCCTTCTCCTGGGGGGTCACTGGACTGGACTCCTTCTCCCGGGGGGCTGGCAGGCTGGGCTCCCCCTTCTCCTGGGGGGTCACTGGACTGGACTCCTTCTCCCGGGGGGCTGGCAGGCTGGGCTCCCCCTTCTCCTGGGGGGTCACTGGACTGGACTCCTTCTCCCGGGGGGCTGGCAGGCTGGGCTCCCCCTTCTCCTGGGGGGTCACTGGACTGGACTCCTTCTCCCGGGGGGCTGGCAGGCTGGGCTCCCCCTTCTCCTGGGGGGTCACTGGACTGGACTCCTTCTCCCGGGGGGCTGGCAGGCTGGGCTCCCCCTTCTCCTGGGGGGTCACTGGACTGGACTCCCTCTTCTCCTGGAGGGCAGAGGGGCTCGGCTCCCTCCTCTCCTGAAGCGCTGCCGGGCTGGTCTTCCCCTTCTCCCGGGGGGCCCGAGTCACAACTACCCCTGTTCCCGGGGGTTCGGAGGCCCTGTTCATGGCCCTTTCCTGGCTTTCAGCTGGGTCGGGCTCCCCTGTTCCCTGGTGCGCTGGGGCCTGGGCTGATCCCCTTCCCTGAGGCCCTGGTTTGGGGCCCCCCGTGGCGGGGACCTCAGGCCGGCCCACTTCGTCGGGTGCTGGAGACCTGGGCACCCCGGTCTGTCGGGGAGCTGGGGCCTTGAGTCCCCCCTTCTCCTGCTGAGACCCCCTGACGTCCTGGGGTGAGCTGCTCGCGCGGAGACCTGGAGGCCAGGCCCCCCCTCGCTCCTCCTTCCGCTCCAAAGCTTTCACTTCCTCCTCCTCCTCTTCCTCCTCCTCTTCCTCATCTTCCTCCTCCTCCTCCTCGTCCTCCTCCTCCTCTTCCTCCTCCTCTTCCTCATCTTCCTCCTCCTCCTCCTCGTCCTCCTCCTCCTCTTCCTCCTCCTCTTCCTCATCTTCCTCCTCCTCCTCCTCGTCCTCCTCCTCCTCTTCCTCCTCCTCTTCCTCATCTTCCTCCTCCTCCTCCTCGTCCTCCTCCTCCTCTTCCTCCTCCTCTTCCTCATCTTCCTCCTCCTCCTCCTCGTCCTCCTCCTCCTCTTCCTCCTCCTCTTCCTCATCTTCCTCCTCCTCTGTGTGCCGCAGAACTGACCTGCCTGACCCGAGTGGAGCGGCGCTCCTGCCTCCTGGTCCCCTCCTCATCGGAGTCGTTTCTCTCCCGGGAGATGGGGTAGCTCTTCCCGGAGGCTGGGGAGTGACAGGGAGCCATCAGCTCAGGAGTCCAGCCTTCGCCCTGCTCTAGGGCCTGGCACCATCGACTTCTCGAAAACCCCGTTCTGGATGCCCGAGGCGGCTGAATCTAGATCCTGCCTGTTCTAGAGGCCACGCCTGGAGACGCTGAACCCCACCTGCTCTAGACCAACACCCTCCTCCATTCTTGCTGCCTCTCTGGTTTTCTAGCTCCTCAGGCAGCGAGCCTCCTACATTAGCCAGGATCTAACCCACCCCGACTGGATGGCAAAGGATCATGGGAGCATGCATTCCCCCCAAACCTATCGGATCCGTGTGGGTCTAGAGTGGTGTAGGTTCTAGGCCAGCATCGAGTTCTCCCCCAATTTTCTGGAGGAGAGCGCGTTCTAGCTCTCTGTTGAATAGGGTCTCAAAGCAAGAGTGAACCAAGGGGTCTAGATCCAAGCGACGTTCTAGGTATCTCAGTCTAGAGCTCCTCCCCGGTTCTCAGAGGCTGGGTGAGTGTGGCAAAGAGCACTCCTGAGCAGAGGCAATGACACAGCTCCAGGGAGAGTGAGGTTCTAGATCATAGCAGGGTTCTGGGTCTCTCACACCCTGGCGAATCCCAGGCTGGGGCTGTACGTTCTAGACCCATCCACGTGCTATAGTTACCCTGAGTCCCACTCCAGAACACTCGTTCCAGAGCCTGCTGCTCTAGAGTCCTCTCGGCCACCTGCTCCACAGGCAGGAGTGGGGCCCCCCCTGCCATTGGTTGACTCCCCCTCTAGTCAGCCAATCAAGGGCATCCATTTCCACCGCACCCGGGGGGTGGGCTCTGAGGAAGGCCCGTCCCCACTGGCTGAATGGCGAGGGGGGTCCCAGTCAATCAGAGGTGGCTGGTGGAGCTGGGCTCCCTGGGCACGAAGGACCCGGCATCCACCCCACACTCACCCTCCAGCTCCGCTGCCTCCCGGGCCTCCCTCTGCAGCCGCTGCTGCAGCAGCTCATGCTGCTTCTCCAGGTATTGCTTGATGAAGCTGTTCTGACTCATCTCCTCCCCGATCTGCAGGGAGACGAGAGGGTGAGAGGCAGGACGCCTGGGCTCCCGTCCTGGCTGGGGGGGCGTGTCCG